CAAATTTGTACTCTAAGCGAGCGCGGACCGGAAGCCAAAGCAGCTCTCTCAGAAGTGTTTTAGCATGGTCGAATTTAAAGATGATAATATTAATATATTACAAATTTAATGCATCACTTCACCAACTTCTGACTCAATAAAGATTACAGCTTTCAGCCACGTCTAAGTTTTGATTGATACGAATTTCTCTTTCAGATTTTGAAAACTTTGTTCATTACGATCCGATGCTAAAATAAAATTATGCATATAATATATATATCTAATACAAAATCCAACTGGTGTCATGGCGACACCCGTGTTCTCATCACTGACATCAGCTGTACCTTGTCATCACTAGGCGCGTGGGGCTAGCCAGTGTATTTCACACCCGCAGATACCATAGTGCCGACTGTGACAAGGACCATTCTCTCGTAGCAGCCAATATGATTAAGGCCAAACGGTTCATCATGCCAAAAAGAAGTTTCGTCCATGAGTTAAAATTTACTGCTCAAACAACTCAGAAAAAACGCAGCAGTTTACAAGTGTGTTGCAGGATACCCTTGCTAAAAGATCACCCAAGTGAGATGATGTATACAATCCAGACAAGTCCGTCTATATTGGAAAAGGGAATATAAAAATAATGAATGGAATGAGGCACATTGGAATTTGATGGGATCCGTCCCTGAGAAAAAAGAGAAAATCCCTACTTGCCCACAAGGCTGTACCTTGGGTCATCTCCCATGTCTGGGAGACTCAATATCTGTGTTACATTTACAATACAAGCAAAACTCTAAATTATTATACAAACAAAACGCTATACCTCGTTACCAGTGGCGTCATGGCTGCCTGTTACTTCCTCTCCACCCATGATTCTGACTTGTTCTCCTTACTTTCTGTGGTCGCTAGGTGTTGTTTTCTGTCTACTATCATCATGGCTACACACTTAATTGTCTCAAATAAAATGAGAAAATAGGTGACTATTCCTGATATATATATTTTAATTATAGAAATCAACTACGCTACATAACACTAGATAACACTACACTACGACGTAGCCCTCTACTTACCGTGGCTCTTCCATGATATAAATAAGTAGGTATAATCTCTAATACAAATATATCCGTCAGCCACCCACCACTCACTTAAACGCCCATACAGCTTCTACATTCAAACTTCATAGTAACACTTACTTCTATGTGGAATTCTGCGGCAAGAACTGGTACAAAGCTTGGTCTAAGTCTACACACACATGAAGAATGTTTTATGAGAGGACCGCATGCAGGTCAATAGTCAGGGAAGTAACTGAATTTCACGTAGGTTATAAACATCACAAAAATCCCACAACGACACCTTCTATTCGTAAACACCCCACAATGACAACTTCTAATCATAAACATCCCACCATGGCACCTTCTAGTCAGTGAACTAGGATGATCAGTGTCTGTGCAGTTAACCCCATGGCATATTAACGTCAGTGGCAATGGAAAAGTCGACTCTATGGGGAAACCCGGGGCTGCCCAGCCTCAGCCAGATGTACCGATAACTTACATGGGAATTAAAATCTGGCTGGCAGACAATGTCAGGACGAGGTGGTACAGGCAACATTAAGACAACTCGACCGCCAGAGGCGTCTTCATTAACTGGCCAACCCCTAGCAGGAAAGACCAATGGTGGGGATTAAATCACAGGCAGCAGAGTCTAGTGACGCAGATGTGCACTGCCCTGTCGGCACATAATCCTGGAGGCTAGATAACAATAGGGACCCTACCTGCCGGCATTGCAGTCGGGTCCCAAAAACACTAACCCATCTGCTGATCGACTATCCCTCACTAGATGTTTCAGAGGAGACCAAGGTGGTCGGTGAGTCCTAAGTGAGGAAAATGTTATATGGCTCAGCTCAAGAGCTGGAGCTCGTAGCCAATGAACTAGCAGGGGTCGTAAGAGAGTAATCTCAGACCCTCATCAGAATATGTCCGTCAGTTACTGCAGCAACTTAAGAGCAGACGGCTCTCAGATGACTCCCCGGTCGATCAGACTGAGACGATTGACGATATAGAGGAGTTCTTACATACACGCACAGAGGCCGACATCCACGAATCGATCCGAATGGAAGGATGTGGTGGAGCAGGTCATGGCCCTACAAGGGCTGTAGCGCCACTGGTGATTCTATTTGAATTATTATAAGCATGCAGTGAATTAAATTGTAGCCTACAATCTCAATGATAAACTATTCCCATATGGTTTTGTGTTGAAAACAGTGACGAAAGTGTACGTTAACTGTTTCATAATGATATTCGTTGTCATGTAAAGTTATGTTTAAGGTAAACGTTTAATGTATTTGGTTCTGTTGTGCATGTTTGTGAAGACACAAGTGCTTCTATCGGTGCTAGCCTCAAACTCAGCACCAACAAAACTGCTTATCTATCAGAAAAGTTTTCTTATTTCAACGAAAATTAATTTGCCGTTGCGGAGGAATGAGATAAATCTTATTAAAACACAACATATATTCCTTACTTGGGCATCAAGCGCTATATATTTGCCGTGTAAAATTAATAGTCTGTGTGTCGGGGAAAGCTCCTTCTACTTCCATGGGCTCACCTTCTGGAAACAGCTCCCCTTCCACATCCGTCATTGTGAAACCTCGTCCACTTTCAAAAAGTCCCTTAAAACCCATCTGTTTAGGTCCGCCTATGACCTGTGATCCACCCTCCTTGCCCTGCCTCATTTTCTGTCTCGGGTTGATCCTGTAGTTTAGGCCAAAGTGTACTCGTTTTATAGCCATTTTAATTGTTTCTATAGTATAGTAGTTACTATCCAAGTGTCTCTGGTTTTTCATTTTTATTTTACTTAGTTTACATGTTTTAATAATTGTAAAGCGGTTAGAGCTTTAAGGTAAGCTATATAAAAATGCCTAAATAAATAAATAAAAAGAACATTGAATTGTTGTATTGGAATTTTATTTGAAACTTTCTGGTCTACGAAGGTCTATAGTAAATAATGTACAATATTTGTACAATAAAATACTTTAAATTGCTTTTATCTGAATATTTTAATTGCATGGTTTACTTTTTGGAACAATGTTTAAGGGATCTTTATCAACAGCTAGATATTGAGTCTGTGTATTAACAAAATAATTTAAACCTTCTGAACATTTTAACGAATTCCCTTTGAAACCCTATCTCCAACTGAGGGATTCAGAACCACCCATTGTGGAAAAAAAAAACTAAATATTGTACTTCCTATAGTGACATGCCTGCATGATTTCCTTTCTGAATGATTACATGTTTGAAATAAGTTGTTTATTTGTGTGGTAATAATTGAATATTTTACAATTACATGTTTGAATGATCCTTTTTTTTTTGTTTATGTTCCCGTGCCATCAATTCGTCAACAAGAGAAAACAGTTTCTTATTTTAAATTCTATTTTCAGAAAATTTTGTAACACATTTAAAAAGAAAAAAAAGATTTTAGAAGACTCAAAAGACCTATTTTGAAGGCTGTAGCAACTTCTGTATCACAGATATGTGTATCATAATTAATCATAATCATAAAATGTTCCATCCCTCCCCCTCTTTTCCACATCCCGGAACTGAAGTTTTTGGTAAATGGCCAAACAGCACTTTGCTTTTTTTTTTTTTTTAAAGGAGATTTTAAACGAAAATTTCATATTTTCCTACATAAATAACAATTTGTTTTATATCATATAAGATCCCTCAAAATTTACCCGCCATCTTCTCAAGCTTCTGACATGTATTTTTGGAAAACGCTTTTAAGACGAGTAGTTTATAGTGTTTAAACAAAATCTAAAAGCAAATCTCCATGTCTGAGTGGTCTGTTTCATCTTGTAATCCCACTTTTCTGAAAATTCAGTCTTATTGAGCACTGAACAACATAACAACCGTGACCCTTCAAATTACCTGTGCCTATATTAAACGCATTGGGCTGGGCATGAATGTGTCTATCTGTCAAGACACTGTTTCATTTAAATGTACAGATAGTTAATAAAGTTAAAAATGTTTGTACCTGATATAGTTTGCTTTAACATTTTGAAAATTACCATACCGAAATATCATAATATAATATATTATTATGGTGACCCTGATTAACATATTCCAAAATATGGATAGGTTGACCTATTTTTTAAGGGACTAAACATAAATTAATGTAGGCACTTTGGGCCAAAATGCAAAGGTAGTCCTCGCTAGTCGACGGAAGAACATTACTATGATTAATTTAATTCCAACTACAAAATCTTGACAATTTATAACTTTTATTGAAGGAAAGGGCATTAATTTGTACCCAACATTCACACCATTACCCAGCACATTTGAGAAAACTAATTATGTTAACATTCTTGTTTATCACAAAAATAAGTTTCTGGCACATCAAATGTTGTCTTCAAATATTTTTTTCATCAATTTCTCAAGACAATAGTTGACCATAAAAGCAGTAGAAATTGCCCTATTGTTTTCTTTTTTTAGAAAAGAAGTCATGGAGTAATTTTTAGATTTTTACAAATAAATAAATAGTCATGTTTTGCCTTGTTAAAAAAACTCACGATAGACACGTCCAAGGTTTCTTTCAGCTATATCACGGGAGGGGGGGGTAAAAATCTGAAACGCCCCCCCCCCCCCCTTTTTCCAAGCTGAAATGTCTGAAATCATCACTGGTCACGTCTCTATTTACTATAATCATTAGTGTTCTAAAATAGCACATGATAAACAAGTGGTGCAACGCCTTATCTGATCGTGCTGTGTGGTGAATGGGACAAACTCAACTTAACTAAATGCCTTCAGTTTTTATTACAGTTACTGACATTCTTCCTGGTTTCACCAAATAGATTTGTCAACTCTTGTGTGTGTTATGAGAATAACAGTGCAGACTATACTGGTGTGTGGGTTGTGAGCTCAACAGAACAGAATGAGATTATAAAAACCCCACTATACTTGTGTGTTACAAGATTAGAGTTGACAAGACTACCTGAAATTCAGCATGGAATAGAAAACTCAAACAAGATTTATAAAGAATAAAACAAGTCAAGTTTATTACATTTATAAAATGTATGCTCTTATTTTTCTTAAATCATTAATTGTATAAAACAAAAATCTGCATTACTATGACAATTGTGTAGTCAACCAAAGAAATATCTCATTATTGCTTATCAAAGTACTTGGCCTTTGCTCTCTGTGCTAAGCTTCTCAGAGGGTTGTTGCTTTCAGTGGTAGACTTAGGAAGTTTAAAGGTGCGACGAAATGGAGAGAATTCAAACAACAAATTTTGCATGACTGCTAAAGTTCCAGAACTAGCCCAGTAGAGTGCCATGGCCTAAAAAAAATTGCAGTGGGAAAATATGACCTAGACATTAATAAATTCTTATTAATGTAATGTACTTGTGGAAAAAATAGCTTTCAAAAATAGGAAAAAAATTTGCTAAATTGTTAAGATGGCTTATACAATAATCGTTGCCAAAAATGATTTGTTTAAGATGTATTTACAAGGTTGTAAAAGAACTAAGAAGCAATTGTCACTGTTTTATCTTCAGCTTTTCTTTAAGATTACTAACGTTTAATAGAGAGTTTTAAGAAATTTAAATAGATGTAAAATTTATAACACCATGGTCTTATAGAGATATGTTTAAACTATTAATAGAACAAAGAAACACATTAGTGTTGACAAGGTGTAAGGAGTATAACAAAGAATTGACTTATTGTTATACTGGTCAACTCACCGACGGAACAGAGGCACTTATAACTATAAAGAGCAAACAAGAACTCCGTAGTGCAATGGTTAACCACTTTCTGTAGGTTGTTACTGTGGGAACACCCAGGTGGGCCATCTGTCACAGACATTATAGTTAAGGTAAATTTCTGAAATTTTTTTGTGGCTGGAAAAACAAATCTTTTTAAACGAACTTCTATCATCCAATGGTACTGTTTACAAATCTATCATACAATGGACCATTAAAACTTCTATCATCCAATGGTATTGTTAAAACATCTATCATCCAATGGTACTGTTAAAACATCTATTATCCAACGGTACTGTTAAAACTTCTATTATCCAACAGTACTGTAAAACTTCTATCATCCAATGGTACTGTTAAAACTTAAGACTACAGTGACCATTAAGTACCGTATGTACTATTAATGTTTATAAATATGTCAAAGTCTGTCTAAGAAATGATGTTACAACTTTGCCCAATGTATAATAATTAAACTATAATGTTACTTAGATATGTAATATATAAATGTATACATCAATGTATCACACTTTAGTCATTCCTAATTCCTGACATACCTCTATATTAAACAAAGTCACCAATCCAACAGTCACGGGTAGAATCCAGGTTGCATCAACAGATGTCAAGTCAGCAAACCAGGCAAAGCCTTCATTAGCTAAACCTATAAACTCTGCATCATTCTCTGCGTACAAGAGAAATGCCATATGCAATGATCAAATCAATCACTAGTGTTAAATACAAATCTTAATTTATGCATGAGCTGTGTGGACTTTGGTAGCATCTGTTATATCATCAAAGATTAGACACATACCCATGTCAGGATTCTGAGCCCTAGTGACAATGTTCCTTAATCCATAAGATATACTCAGGAATAATGGTGTCTGCAGCCAGAAGATTGCCGTATTTTTCATGGGATGGCAGTTGTCTCTCGTGTACAGTCCTCTCAGTAATTTTTTCACCTGCAACATAAAATAAGATCTTCAGAAAAAACTATTCCATATGAATATGAGATGTCACACTGTGAATTGCCAGCCCAAATTCACCTTTACACCCTTATGGTGTGGTTTACAATTTGTAGTAAACATTTTCATTCAAAAGTTCATGAACAAATCATATCATGTTTATCATTTGAATGCAATGTTGAGAAAAAGTCTCAGGTCCCTGTGCCAACTATTTCAAAGGAATTTTGTAATCAATTTTTTGGTTTCAAATCTCTAGAGATCAACAGTCACATCATTTTACTTGTTTATCTTTTGAAGTGCTGTATAAACCTCAGCTGTTAATTGGGCAACAAATCGTCAAGATGTCAGTCCTTAAAACTAAAATTCAATCCTAGAACATTTAGTTACCAGTGCCTTACAAATTCTTCAATACTGTTTGGTTTTTCATACATGCAGTCATTGTTTAAACTTATTTGATTTAGGATCTTCAGCGAAATAAGGGAAAATCTGAAAATAAATAATGTATAGAAATTCTCATAATTGTAGCACTGAGGCTTTAATATGTAGGATGCATTTTCTCAGTAGCACTGTGGCTGTAATATGTGGGATACATTTTCTCAGTAGCACTGTGGCTGTAATATGTAGGATACATTTTCTCAGTAGCACTGTGGCTGTAATATGTGGGATACATTTTCTCAGTAGCACTGTGGCTGTAATATGTGGGATACATTTTCTCAGTAGCACTGTGGCTGTAATATGTGGGATACATTTTCTCAGTAGCACTGTGGCTGTAATATGTGGGATACATTTTCTCAGTAGCACTGTGGCTGTAATATGTGGGATACATTTTCTCAGTAGCACTGTGGCTGTAATATGTAGGATACATTTTCTCAGTAGCACTGTGGCTGTAATATGTAGGATACATTTTCTCAGTAGCACTGTGGCTGTAATATGTGGGATACATTTTCTCAGTAGCACTGTGGCTGTAATATGTAGGATATATTTTCTCAGTAGCACTAAGGCTGTAATATGTGGGATACATTTTCTCAGTAGCACTGTGGCTGTAATATGTGGGATACATTTTCTCCGTAGTACTGTGGCTGTAATATGTAGGATATATTTTCTCAGTAGCACTAAGGCTGTAATATGTGGGATACATTTTTTTCAGTAGCACTGTGGCTGTAATATGTAGGATACATTTTCTCAGTAGCACTGTGGCTGTAATATGTGGGATACATTTTCTCAGTAGCTCTGTGGCTGTAATATGTAGGATATATTTTCTCATTAGCACTAAGGCTGTAATATGTGGGATACATTTTCTCAGTAGCACTGTGGCTGTAATATGTGGGATAGATTTTCTCCGTAGCACTGTGGCTGTAATATGTAGGATATATTTTCTCAGTAGCACTAAGGCTGTAATATGTGGGATACATTTTTTTCAGTAGCACTGAGGCTGTAATATGTAAGGTACATTTTCTCAGTAGCACTAAGGCTGTAATATGTGGGATACATTTTTTTCAGTAGCACTGAGGCTGTAATATGTAAGGTACATTTTCTCAGTAGCACTAAGGCTGTAATATGTAAGGTACATTTTCTCAGTGGCACTGAGGCTGTAATATGTAAGGTACATTTTCTCAGTGGCACTGAGGCTGTAAGATGTAGGATACATTTTCTCAGTAGCACTAAAGCTGTAATATGTAAGGTACATTTTCTCAGTGGCACTGAGGCTGTAAGATGTAGGATACATTTTCTCATCATTTTTCTTTTGATGTAAGTCAGTGAAAATTATACTCAGTCCCATATAAGAAAACACTACAGGATTTGAGATTAGCAAATAATTTATCACCAACAGCTACATCTACAAGCAGTAAATGAAGTTAATATCATTATACATTTATAATCAAATAATTTCAACTAATTTTTTTTTAAATTTATAAATTGCGAAATTTAAACTTTCACTGAATTCTTTGACATCTACAGCATACCAGTAGGTCATATAGGTGCGAGAGACTTTAAATTAAAAAATTGTTTAGTACTAGTATATTAGGGTGCTGATGGGGAGTTTGTAGTAAATGGTCTAAATTCTGGGGTCTGAAATTTTATTTCAGTGGGATTAATGGTTTTGAAAGAGAGGGGAGGGGGGGGGGGGAATAAGCACACCAAAAGTGCTAAATACTTGGTGAAATTTATGTTTTTTAGTGTTTAGAAAAGAAATGTTTTAATATCTTAGATATAGTATTTTCAAAAATGATTGTTTATTAATTAAATTCCATATTTTTGTGTTCATTTAATTCTTTAGTGCCATTGTACAATTTTATAAAAAAAGGTTCTTTCTGGTACTCATCTATCTAAAAAATAATAACTTGATCAAATTATTAATTGTATGATTATGTCATTTCTACTAAAAAAATAAAGTAGTTGAATCTATGGAACTTGAATTGAAAACTGTATGACCATATTTTTTTACACATATGAATCATAAATAGGGAACATAACGTACATGTATATCATATTCTTTCATTGCTCGCTTCTTGTCCCATCCAAACTGTGTCATAGATTTCTTTACTTCGTTTTTAATTATTTGTGCTTTTTCCTTTATTTCTGGAGCAAGGCATCGTAGCTTATCTTGGTTGTGATTAACATGGATAGTCAGGGGCAGCATAAGGACAGCTCGCATAAGAAATGCTGTTAGCAGAATATTTGACCACCAGGGCAAACCTAAGATACACATTAGAAATTTACATTAAAATGATCTTATCACAATTTATTTAACTGATAAACTTAACACCTACTGATGTTACTGAAAAGTGTAATCAATAACAACATATAAAGATATCCTTATCTCTTAAATTTCCATTGCAGCAATCATCGAGAGTTGAAAAATAATTTGTTAATGATGATTGGTTAAAATGTAGTCTCAAGAATTTTTTTAAATTTGTGTATATATGTTAAGACAATGGAGGAAAACAAATGCATTTTTAAATAAGAATTTAATTTATATTTGTGTTCTGTATTCATTCCCAGATATATTTGTAAAAAAAACATGCAAACTAAAAGATAAAAGGAAAAGTTGTAAAAAAAATTTTAAATACCTGTTAATTCATGTATGTATTGTAAAAAAATTTCTGCACCACAAATAGTTGGGAATTCTTCAAATAAAAGTTGATTCACAGGGCTGCTTCCTATTAGTGCAGAGACAGAGTCTGGTAATACAGTTGTGGATGTTGACATCGCAATGTCTGTGTCTGATAATGAAGATCTTGCAGTACTAGTTGAGAAACTTTTGACCAAAATATTATGACTAGATCTTATAGAGCAGGCTTTTTGCATTGAAGACCACAGAAAGTTTGTATGATTTTGGTTTCCCACCATTTTTGTTTGTACTGGGAAAGCTTTTTGTCGTCGATTAATAATGGGCAAAGTTTTGGCAAAACTTAAATTATTCACTTTAAAATTTAGCGATCTTTCCCTTTTATTTAACATTATTGTTAACTGTTTGCTTAACCGTTGACTGTATTGAAATTCTTTTTGCTTTATTTCAAAACCACTACACTGCCTGCATAATAATGTTCTATTTTTCAGTAGTCTTGTGCAGTGTAATGGTTTTATGAAAACAAACTCCATTTTGTTTAAAATCTAGCACTTTAGTTCTATAGGAATCTGAAATAAAGAAGGACAATTTTAAAAATTAAACATTCACAGCAGATATTTTTACATTAATGTAAGCCTTCTCATTACTGTTGTCTACACTTCTATGTTTCTCGGTCGGTTAATGTCTTTTTTCAGTTGGGTGGGGGAAAGGATAATATTAGGCCTATATTACTGTATTAAAATTATATCAAAATATAAACCAAAAGTGAATCACGGCCTAATTGGAAATCTGATAAGACATCAGTCATCTAGGCATAATCAATTAACAATAATTTTATTTACAAAATTATCCATGATCTAACCTAACTATAATTTATAATATTAAAACTTTTAATAAAAGTAAAAGCCTAAGAAATTAACCTAAATGTTAAAGACAATGAATGACATGGGGAATCACTTCATAATCATGTTAGTAACTGATTTATTGCATCATGTATAAAGAAATCTGACCACATCAACCCAGTTCTTAAAGATCTCCACTGGCTTTCTGTTAGAGCGCTCATTGACCACAAAATTCTGTCCCTTGCCTACAGCTGTATTAAGGCTTTGCACCTGCATATCTTCAAACAGTGATTTTTAAACATGTATCTAAACAGAACCTGTGCTCTTCAACACACACAGTCCTTACTGAGAATTCCCAGTGTGGATGGACACAGAAAGAAGTCATGCAGAGTGTGCTCTTTTCACAATCTTTGAGGGCCATTGAAAATGATAAAAAGTCATTTTTTTCAGCCTTTTTTCTTCAAATTGATTTTAGGACATAATCAGAGCACTGTGAGCATACTAACATAGCATGGACAATCACAAGCGCTGAAAAGGACTCAACCATCATCACAATACAGACTATAGTCTTCATACTATAGTTCAGTCTAGGACTGAGATTTCAGTAATTTCATCGCTACTGTTCTATAAGTGTTTTCAACACAATCAATGCATGCCCATATCCTTAACTGGATCCTATCCAGTTGAAGTTGACTTAGCAGTCATAACTTAGTCTTAGTTTAGTCACTCTTCTTAGAGATGGGTATTGTTTATTAAAGGCTGCGACTATTCGGACCCAGTATCAGAAGTGAGATAGGTTGGGTTTATTAAAAAATATTTAAAATATTATTGTAGGGTTTGTACGACAAGAAAAGGTATAGAATGAAAGATAATTGCTCATATGGACTATAGGCCTATGTTTATAAACTTAATTCTTCATTTTAACATAAATAAACTACCACAAATGACATCCAAAAGCATTTAGTCTAAAGTTAAAGGGACCCGGGTCTGAATAGCGCAGATGCGTGTCCGGGTCCATTTTGACTCAATGAAAAATGCTATAGGCTACTATTCGGATGTCATTTGTGGTAGTTGTTTTAGTTAGCCTAAACTGAAGAATTCAATTTACAAACATATAGTATATTCCATTCAATTATCTTTCATTCGATACCAAATTTTATCTCACAAACCCAACAATATTTGAAACATTTTTTAATCCCAACCTCTCACTGCTGGTCGCAGGGTCCAAATAGCCTCTTGGTTTATTAAATTAATCGACTCCAGTTACACTGTACAGTAATCTTCACCATTCACTGTGACTACTGACTACTCACCCCACTGACCTACTGTGAGTGGGTAAGAGTGAGTGAGTGTCATCAGTCACTCATATCAGTCACAGTACTCACAGTCACAGTGTAATTCAGTTTAATTCACTGACACTGTGACTGTGATGACGTACACGACCAGAGAGAATGTGGACCACACTGTCCATAGTAATGTATAACTCTTACTGAGTCGGTAAATAGTCTTACTCACCCTACCTAAGTAATAATGCACTTTGATATTTTTTATTGAAATGTTGAATTTACCTCTTGGTATCCTTCAATACCTTTCATTCGTTTTAACTTTTATTTAACGAACTCTTTTATATTTAAGATTACTTTTACTATATTTTCAGATGTGCTGCCACTTGGGTTTTACAAATTCCCCAGATTTGATCTAAAAATGTATAGGCATAGGCCTATTACAGATAAACATAAATAGGGTACAAAATTATAAATTTAATTTTCGGTCTATGTTAAAAGTGTTTAAAGGACATACAGATGTGGCGAAATGGCACAGGCTCATGTGCCCACATCAGAGTAATACCGAAAACGTAAAAATATATATTTATTTATTTTTTTAATTTTTAAAAAGAAATTGTAATTTCACTGATTCGTGTAATCATTTAAATTTAAAAAATTCAATGTTTCCTTTTTTTAAAAAAAATTTAATGGATATCTAGAGGATGAGCCTAATATAACTTCTCAATGGAGGCGGCGGGTGGGATGACTTTCAGGGCAGTAAAATGCTCGCCGGATTTAGGGGTGCGCTGGGACTACATAGGACAGTGGTCGGCAAACTCATCAGTCAAAAGAGCAAGAAATTGGCAGGAGGATGAGATTTTTAAGAACGAAATTTCTTTTCAAGAACCATGTTTTTTCGAAGTCAAAGCCGATTTGTGGCCCGCCGGCCGAGCCGCACCCAGGTCACTAAAGAGCCGCTATTTACCGACCACTGACCTAAGGGGCTTAAAGGGGACGGTGATGGATTATGTCAGAAAAGTTTTTATTTTTTAAATTTTATTTTAAAATAAATTTACACACAAACACAAGCACACACACCCACTATATATATATATATATATATATATATATATATATTATATATATATATGATGTACGGATCATTACCGGCCTTCAAATGGAGTCTTATTTTGAAAAAATAGACACCGATTAAAAATTACAAGGGGTTATAAACCAAAATAAATATTCACTCAGTAAGGGAAATCAATATACCGTACAAATGTAGAGATGCACTTTAAAAAAGAGCCATCGACATATTTTTCTAAGCAGCCACTTGACGCAGAAATTTGAAAAATAATTCTTAACGGGTTTTTTTTTAAATTTGGTGATATTAATCTTATTGATTGTAATCTATGTCAGTTATTCAAACAAGAATATAAATGTTAACTTTATTGAAGGCAATGTGTTGCCAGAGGCAGAACAGTCTGTACAGCAGTGGGGGCCCTGGGCAAAATATTGCACTGAGACCCCATATTCCTCTATACTCATCCTGGGCGCCACTTTTTCTCGGCATGGCTCTATCTGTAGCATACTACACAAGTAATGTTATGAAAAGCATTTTGGCCCATGCATTTTGGCCTGTTTCTCCGGGTAATTTTATCCACGGGGTATTGGTTGTAGAATGAAAGCGTTCGGGCGGGGGAGGGGGGGGGTGGTGAAGCATCTCAGTTTGGAGGGGGGGGGATCTATCATCACTGAAATGAGGCATTTTGACGCCCATGGCAGTCCTCACTTTGTCGTCCCTGCTATACATAACCATAAAACCATCCTAGGAATGGAGCCCCCAGAGGGTATGTTTTAAGTATCAGCCTCAGCTTAGTTCTGCCCCTAGACAAATATATAGTCCAACTACGTATACCAAACTAAAGGGAAATCATAGATTCCCTTGAGCATGAATGGGTTACAAAGACCATGAATGGGTTACACGATTTCATTTATTATTTTCAGGTGTATCTAAGTGCTAATATTGTCTTGCATAATTTTATTTTGAAATTATTTATTTGTTTAAACCACTTCAGCAATGAATGAATTTATCATAAAAAATGTATTTCCGTACAAAACAGTTGTTTAAAAAAAAATAATTAAAAAACTATTAGCATAATAATTAAAATTGCATTTCTTTAAAACTTAATTAAGTCTTTCCAAAATTTACGGTTTCAAAAAAAGAGAAGAAAAAAAAACACTGTTTTGTAGAAAAGGTCAATACTGTAGATTTTGTATGGCTAGTTACAACAGGTAATTTTAAAATAAATAAATGTTATCTAAAATGTTATCAAAAAAGGAAATAGGAAATATTCACAAAAGGCGTTAAATAGTTATAAAGTTATGATTTATCTAAGGGAAGTGAAACAGTATGAATTTCCAAACAAATGCTTTTAAGTTTTATTTGGAATCTCTAACTACCATAACTTTCTTCATTTACATGATTAAGTCATGCACTTAATGGCGCCTTTTTTTTAAGTCGCTTTGACTTACCACTTAGCCTACTAAATTGACAATTTGTCAAAAGAAAACTTGTCTAAAACTAGTACCAAAAAATTTGAGTTGGTGGGAACATCGAAAAACTTGTTTCAAAAAAATGGAGAACCGGCCTTCCCGCTGCATTTTGCAATCAAATGATAATGCCAACAAATATTTCACTATTCATTTACATTATTGGTAGCATATTGACGCTCGAAGCAGGTATTCTAAATGAGCCGCTGAATATTTCGCTGAGTGGAGATTTTTTAATTTTTTTTTTTTAATAGGGTCGCGCTAAACGTCATCGCTGTTGGTCATTATATTTATTGGACTGGAAGCAACGGATTTAGAAAGTACTGATGTTGATGTTTATTCAAGTTGAAGCATGAGGCCTCCTTAGGGGCGTAATGTTCCTTAGAGGCGTGAGGGCTCCTAGATGCGTGATGCCCCCAAGAGGCATGAGACCCCCTAGATGCGTGATGCCCTGGACCAGTGGACCTTAAGACGGCACTGGCCAGAAGTTGTCATCATCGTACGTCAAGGGGGTCTTCGACGTAAAGTGATTTTCGCCATAAAATTGGACCCACCTACGTCACTCGCATGCAGCATATACTCAGAAGTGAAATAGACGTCGAGTTTGAGAGCACTTGGCGCGGCTGTGCATAAGTTTACGACTTGATAACTGCGCGGCTGTGCATAAGTTTACGACTTGATAACTGCGCGGTTGTGCATAAGTTTACGACTTGATAACTCAATGAAAAGTTCGGAAACAAGGACTGATTTTTTTTTTTTTTTTTTTTTTTTATTTTACTTGATAACTCAATGAAAAGTTCGGAAACAAGGACTGATTTTTTTTTTTTTTTTTTTTTTTAATTTAACATCTGAGGGAGCGAGTTCAAGCGATGTAACGTAGAAAACTAGTGGAACAGGATATGTTTAGGTTTGTAAATAAAAGACAAGAAAATTAAGCGGGCTTTTCGGCTAGGTGCCTTCTTCAGCAGACGATACATTACAATAAACAAGAGATAAATTTTAAATTAAAAATGAAGCTTATGTTTTCGAAGATCTCATAAAAATCAGTGCAGCTATTTTGAACATTGATTTATTGAAATTTAAATTTGATGGGAGATGACCAATGTTCCCTTTAAGCTGCGCGGCCGCGCAGCTATCTCAGAGACGCCGCGCAGTTTTCTGTACCGCGCAGCAAATTTCCATGTAAGTGAGTGTTTGTGTTGGTGGGCTGTAAAGTTTTGCATACACAAAAATTGATGCTGTAAAACTTTGCACACAACTGTATGATTTTGCACACGAGTCAACAAACCTTAGAGGGAACATTGGAGGTGACGTCAATCTTATGTAAATAAAATGAAAACATTTTACTCTTGTATCTAAATTAACTCTGCTCATTGGCGATGTTGGCCAGATAGCTAAGCCCGTCGGACCTAGGAAGGGGGAAAAAAAAAGGGGGGGGCACAAGATGATAAATCAGTGTCGTCACAAGGTTGCACAGTGCGGTAGGCTCGTGGTGCCACCTGACTTTGCCATGGGACTTCACTAGGAATGCTCTGTCTGGTGATACCCTGTTCTGGTGACAACTTGTTCTGGTGACAACCTTCAACCTGCTCTGGTGACATCTTGTTCTGATGGCCCCCTGCTCATTGATTTAGGAAGGTTCTGTTTTTTAACAGACTTGAGCGATACTGTCAAGTTTGCAATTTTCCATTTGGGGCCGTCCCCTTGTGAGGGTGTCACCAAATGTGCGATTTTACATTTAGTGTCACCCCCCCCCTGTGAGGGGTGTCATCAGGTGTGGTCCGCCGTCCTCACCCCCAGTGACCAATTGAATATCGTACATAATAGTGTGTGTGTGGGGTGGGGCGATTTTAGGATCCATTTTATTTGAAATATAAGATTGGGTGATAAATCCATTTTCAGTTTCACGAGCATATAGTTATTTTAATTTTAATTACTAGATGTAGCCCGCCAAGCACTGGCAACAGCAATGCGAGAATTTCCCATCTACAAAATTTACTTGACAAAACATGAACTCAAGTAATGCACATTTAAGAATCCCGATTTTCGCTACACCCCTTTCCTCCACGATTTGTCACTGCACACTTTTATTTCACTTTTATTAAATATTCTGATGTCCCAACCACTTTTAAGCCGAATATTTTTTTACACCACACTTAAATTGAGACGGTTTCATTTTAAGAAAAGAAAATATTAAGCAACAAACGCAGTTGCGTTAAAAAAAAAATACATCATTTAGCGTAATTATCGGGAATTATATTTTCACGCTAGTAAACTCATTATTGCATCATACTTTATTTCAAACATACATAATTATTTGAAATATAATATCAAAATTGCACACTTTTATTTCACTTTTATTAAATATTCTGATGTCCCAACCACTTTTAAGCCGAATATTTTTTTACACCACACTTAAATTGAGACGGTTTCATTTTAAGAAAAGAGAATATTAAGCAACAAACGCAGTTGCGTTATTTAAAAAAAAAAAAAAAAAATACATCATTTAGCGTAATTATCGGGAATTATATTTTCACGCTAGTAAACTCATTATTGCATCATACTTTATTTCAAACATACATAATTATTTGTAATATAATATCAAAACCAAATCTGAATAGGAAGCAGCCATAAATGGAAGCAGTAGCAGTCCACGAGTCACCCCAGAAGCGTAATATATATATAAGAAGATTTGACTGAATATGTAATTCAAAGCTAAAGCAAAGTTATATTTGAGGTTTTTCCTCAGAAGAAAATTTCATGTCATTATTATGCACATTGTTAAATAATTAAGACATTCTGTTTTATTCGCTGTACTCCAAGCAAAG